ACTCGCGCCTCTCCAATCTTCTCCACCACTTTTCCATCCTGAAGAGAATGCCACAGCTGCAGCTCTCACCCGACCCAACAAACAAGAAACGAATTGGGAAAAGGAGGGGCTGACGGCTGTTTCTCGGCCTTCAAACGTTTCCCCAAACTTCCTTCACCAGGATCCGGGGGCCGAAGCTTCGAAACTAAAGATTGGCATCAAACGGATGGCCTGCATGCATACTGCAGAAGTTGCAGCACAGTTGTCAGACATTGTCAGACTCTCTCAACATTTTGGTTGATAGACTCTAGACTGTCAGGGCACCAAGGCAGGCCAAAAACATCCATTCTTTCTCCGGGGACTTTGTCTGCCTCACCGTTCATTGATGCTGACATACTCCCTTTGCCAGTTGCTTGGAACATGCCGCAACCAAATCCGCTGTCGGGCTTCGTATTCTACCAGTGCTTACGATTCTCATAGATCCTCTGATTCACACTGCTGGTAGATGGAAGGTGACCTTCGGTCGGGCATCCGCACCTTGCTCATCTTCTGGACATCAGCCTGAATGGCTGGCAGGGGCCTTCTTTGGGAACCAGAAACCCGAGAACAGGGCAGTCCTCAAGAGGGACCCCTTAGCTTTTGTGGCTATGGGCCATGGGGCCCAAGTTTTGCCGGTCGTTGGTCCTCGTTTGAGCACATCAGTTTTGCCATACCAGAAGTGCTCAGATTTGGGCATGAAGCACCATACCCTTCACGTCAAGACCTTCGCTGACCAGACACCTTTGCGCATGACTCCATGGTCACCAGGGCATCCCGACCATCTTCACCTTGAGCACCATGCCCTTCAACTTCCGGCCTGTGACCTCTCGCAACCTCAGCAGCCAGACTTGCTGGCGGCCGCTGGGTCCGTCGTGGGTGGCCATTCCTCTGGCCCATGGAAACCAAGGCGTTTCATAACAGGTGGCTCTTGGATTACTCGTGGATTCTCGGCTCTTGACAAAGGTAGGGAAGCAAAATCGGCCACCCGAGTTAGCCAAAGAGATCGGGCACCATTTTAGGGCCTTAGGGACTTGGGGATTCATGTTTTTTTCTGCTCCTATGAATGTGCAACTTGCGGGTTTTTCTTGCGGATATCCAGGCGCTTGGACTTTCCTCCCACACGAACTGCGCAGCTCTTCGATCACTAAGACCACCATGAACTGCGTGGGTGAGACTGTGGGACCCTCTGAAAGGGGGTCCAACCGAAGCACCTGTGTGTGGCACCACGTTGCATATCGGTGTCACCGGTCACCACGGGCTGCGACGTGCTCGCCCAGCTGCCTTCAGCACCCCGGAATCAGCCCAGGGGCGCGTCGGAGGCGTCCTCCGCACTGTCAAACCTCGGAAGAAGACATGGCGTGTCCCACGCTGTCAAACCTCTGAAGAATTGACCAATGCCAGAAGGAGGTCTGTCTGAAAAGTGGAAGCGATTCTGAAAAAGCTTTACTTAGCTCGCACCACGACTTGTAGAGGGAGAAAATGATATCTTCCACAAAAACCAGAGCTTTTGAGCGGATCACATCCGCTTGCTGTTCCAAATCTGGCACCTGTGGCAACTTTTCTGTGCTTTTGCTGGGCTATAGCAGTGCCCCAACCTTCGGGGGTATGAGATCATCATTTCTGGATCATTCCAGCAATTCGGTAGATCCTCTGTCTCAGTCCCACAGCCATCCACAGCCCATGTTTCCGCTGCCGAGCCATGGCCTCTGTCCAAAAAACATCCGAAAGCGCAGCTATAGGTCTAACACATCACCTGGATTGCCTCCGCAGCTCCCCAAAAAGAACACTCCACAGCCTGAATTGCCTGAATTGAACACCCCAAGCCGCCTCATCCCATCTAGATGTCCAAGCTCCTCTCCTCTCCTCGCGCGTCCGGAAAGACCGGTCCAAGCGGCTCCACGAAGGCCACGCCTTTGGCGGTGAGCGGTAGCTCGATGTCCTGCGAGTGACGCGAGCGAGGAAGGGAATTGTACGAAGGGATCCAGGGGAGTTCAGATGAGGAAGTGAGGTGAGAGTTGGAATACAGGGGTAGTGATGGGGATCTCTCAGCTGGAGATTTTGGACCTATAGAAGTTAAAACTGAGCAGTAGCAGCTGGGCCACCTGGGCCTGGCACTTTTTGGACTAGCAGTCTGACCGAACTCAAATCCCATGGTCCGTCACATGGCCAAACTCGCCGAACTCCCGCTGGAGGTCAGTCCTGGGTCCAACGCACAAAGGGTTGGAAGATCTTGTTCCTTTACCGGTTGTGGGCTATTTCAATCTTCGACAAAACAGAAATGAAGATTAGGGGGTGATCCTTTTGGCTAACTGTTGGTTCTAACTTGGGTTCTTCTTGCATGAGACTTGCATGTACTCAGTACTCCCCAGAGTTCAAAAAAATAAACACAACAAATGCTTCGGGTCTGGAGACCCTACATGAATCCTAGAGAGTTCCATCACTCCAATCTGTCTGTTTGCGGCTTTTGAATCGGTTCCCGTGCAAGGCCTTCCACGTCAAAAATGAATCCAATGTCAACGCATGGGAAAAAGCGTGGCAATTTCTAAGACTTGTGGATTGGAATGTTGCGATGTTCAACGGAACCGGTTTGCAGAACTCTGTGCCATGCGCTCTGATTGTTCAGAACCGATGTTCGCACTGGAGGATCGAATGCTACCCACCTCTGGATCGAATGCATGGCACAAAAAAACACATTTGCGGAGAGCGCCATCTACCCTACCCAGGGTCACATTCAGGCCACGGATTGAGCCCCGCCCGTGAAGGCCGCTGGCAGCCGCGGGACTTCATCACTCCGTTGGCCACGCCCGAGACAAAGAGCCTTAAAAGAAAGAAAGAAAGAAAGAAAGATTGAATGCGTGAGCGACGGAACGAGCGAACAAATGAATGAACATCCCTGTGTTTCTACCCCATGTGAGTTGGGATCCCTCACTGGTGATTGATCATGCATGATAGAAGATGGAACCCTCCAGAAAAAACTGATCCTTTGCCCTTCGGAGGCCTACATTCCCTTTGGAGAGGTTGGAAAGAATCTGGGACCTCCCTGGAGATCTGCTTTGCCCGACCTGCGCCCCCCACACGTGCGCCTCCACACCTGCGGTCCGCATCCGTCCACCGGAACATCCGCCGTCCCGGTCCCACATGCCACGATGCCTCTTGCCATGGGCTGAAGCAGTAGCTCGCCGGGCCACCTGCTCCAACGAGCTGCTGGATCCCCACGCAGAAGCATCAAAGGAAGGAAATGTAGACTGCTGATGAATCAAACCCCCTAGGCCTGTAGATGTAAAGTCATTCTAGGGGGATTGTCAACCGTCTGCATTAGAGGTACAACATGAGGGATTGGACCCCACGTAATGTCCTGCCCAAAAACAAAAGATTCGCGGCCAGGTGTAGGTATCACTGCCCCCAAAAAGGAGCCACTGGAGTATCCACATGAAAAGCCTGGTTCCTTCTGCCCATCCCCGCCTCCATGAAGTCTCGACACCAGCCTGGAGAGGATGGAGGGAATGAGGAGAAGAGCCCAGAACCTGCATAAAATAGGACAAAACTACTATAATATGTTTGTTTTAATAGGACAGGGTTAATATAATATATGTTTATTCTATGTGTTTACTTACTGTATATATTTATCTATATTTTATATACAGTGTAATACAAAAAAACAATCGGTTTGACGACCTATACTGTAGTCGTTCCTCAAGCAGCCAGGGCATGTTCATCTACCATAATTTTGGGCCCTCACCACCACAATGCCCATTCCCCCAGGTCACTAGCTCAAGTTAAAACCTAGCCAAAATCAAACATCACTACACCTCCTTGTCCGAATGCATCACGACCCCGTTTTCCGCCCCATAAGGCCTGACTTGGAGGAAAATGGCTCCTCAACTCATCCACGCATCCATGTGCCAACGGTTGCGGCTTTGCGCCCGACCGGTTGTGTGGCTGTGGCTGCACTGTGGCTGAAGCAGTCGGTTTAGGTCTCTGGCTGGAAGCTGGGGCTGGAGCATCCCTACGGGATGAAAATGGCTTGGGTCTCAAAGGATTGAGGGGACCTCCCACAGTGGACTATCTCATGACCCACATGGTACAGGAGTTCTTGGCTGGAAATAATGATATTGCCCAGAAAGTGGGCTGAGCTAGTGGGGGTGAAGAGCGAGAACAAGTCCTTGACCATGATCGAACAGATCCTTTCATTTGCAAAGCTTTCCGAAACGGTATGACCACTTCAAACCACTTCAGGCTGTCAACTCAAAGAAAACTCAAAATAAAAACACTGTTTTGTTCAGAGGAGTGTAGGTTCCGCATGTCTGGTTTGTTAGACAATGGTCCCTGCTCGATGCTTGTCCAAACTGCCAGTGTTGGCTTTACTGCACGGGTGAGCTCAAGAGTTTTGTTCCTCCTGCAAGATCCACAACAATAACATGTCACTTCATTGCAAACGTCATGTTTTTGCAGCAGGTGTCATTCCTGTTGCAAGTGTACTCCATTTAGCTGCATCACTCCAGTATGTTTACTTGCTTGCTTGTTTTGAGCCAGCTTGGGCCAGCTAAGGCAGGGGTCTGGAGTGCTGTTGATGGCATCAACTACGCCACAAGCTCCAAAGAATATTGTACCTTGTGTGAGTGAGGTACATTGGTCTTTTGTGGGTACATCTACTCTTCATTGGATGCAGGTTTAAAAGGAATTCACCCGGTTTGGTCGGATTCCCATGTGGCTATCCCGTTTTGGAGACCCGTGGACGCGTCCCAGGACGAGTGGCCCAAACTCCTGCGCCGGAGCAAGAAACGACCAAAAAACAAAAACAATAGTGTGCAATTCCTTGGCCCGAACATGTCTCACCCACGTTCTACGAGGAAGTCTGACTCTTGGAACTTCCGCAGGGTGAAGTGGTTCTCTCGCCACGCCAGTCTCCTGCTTCAATTCAGCACTGGCTTTGTGGGATCACCGAACCCCGCCGTTGCTCTCCGGCACGGTGCCGCCGCCGCCTCGGGCTCCATGTAGTCCAGCCCATCCAGCACCAGCAGGGTCACCCTCAGCAAGGACACCTCGAAGAGGCGGTGGGAAATGATCCGGACCCGAGAAGTGAGAACAAGCAAGTGCCACGCTAGTAGTAACAGGTGCCATACTACTAGTAACAAGAAGCTACTAGGAACCAGTGCATCGCTTCTAGTAACAAGTGCCTTACTAGTAGTAACAAGCGTCTAAGAACAGTCTGCAACCTTTTGTGCCTCTGAGCCGATCCACTGGAAAGCGGCGAAGATGGCTGGGTGACAGGGTTAAGCAGCTTAAGCACAACTAGCAGACTTCGCATCACTCACCCAAAAGATCCCAAAGAACCCAAGGAACGCCCAGGCCCAGACCCACGGGGGGTTCCTTCGAGTCGCCACGGAGTCGGATCCACGCCATACACCGAGGAGGCCTGGTACTTGGTGGCCAGATCGTGGATGCGCTTGGGCGTGCCGACCACCAGATGGGCGCCTGAACAGCATGAAGTGGGGCGTGCGCAGGTATGGTGGCGGGTTGGCAACGGCATGGAACTGTGCATGAAATCAGGCAAATCATGGAAAACAACCAAACATATCGATTCAGATTTGAGCAAGGTATTGGTAAAAAGAATCAGAGTATGGCTAGCATAAAACGGAGAACTTTACTTTGGAAGAGCTGCAACTGTTCCATATATTGGTAAACCCGTTGAAGAGTCCTGGTCTCCATGGCCATCTGCTACTATGAATCCTTCACAAGTGGACACGTCTGCTACTATGCATCTTTTGTCTCCACATCCTGCTGGTACTTCGGTCACTCCCTTAAGGAGCCCTCCCAGCGAAAAAACGTCGGAGCTGTGACACGTTCGGACACAACCGCCATAACATTTGATTTCCATGTGGCTGTGGATCTGCAGTGCACCTGAATAGCTCAAATCACTTCAATCATTGGATCATGTTGGAACCAAAATCCTCTTGCAAGGGAGCTTCACTGCTTCACTGATCCAACCCTTCGTTTCTCCCACTGCCACGTGGTTGGTCTGCTTCACGCCATGTCAATCCAACACAGCCTGTGAAACGCTTCGAGGGGAGCCGCGAGGCGAGTGAATCTGGGCCCACGAGGTCCATCGTGTTCATCCCACGTGGCTCACGACGTTGGAGTCCAAGACGAAGCCCTCCACCGGATCCAAATTCGGCAGAGTGACCTCCTGAACCTGAAGCCCGCCACGCAAAGCAAGTGGTTGCTGGGACCCAAAGCTTGGGGCGGCCCCAAAAGGGAAAGAGAAGGTGAAGACCGAGTAGGTTTCCTCCATGGTATCTTTTGGCAGGGTGACCTTAAGAAATCGCAAAAATGGTATGTCTTAGTTAAAATCCGGTTGCAGCTGGGATGTGTGCCAGGGTCAGGTCTGAGACGGTCTGAGGGTGTACAATGTACCCCACAAAGGTAGCGACCCAACAAATGCATCCTCAATGATCAGCTTGGTGTTCACCCGCTGAAGAGCCTTTTTCAATTGAAATGAGATGTTCACATCTTCTAACCGAAATGCCTATTTGAAGGGGGCTGGTAGTTCGGACACAAATAAATAAATGTATCCTGATTTGCCACCACCTTGATGGTCATTGGCCCACCCCCACCCATCCACCACCTCTCGACCCACCTTGCGGTTCGTGATGTGGGACAAACCCTCCAGTTCCTCCTGCGCGGTCTTGAAGCGCGGAGCCGAGCTGGAGGTCACCAGTTCCGGTCGCACGAACTCCTTGATCTGGTTGGTCTGGTCTTCCAAAAAGCTGCAGAAGTCGGAGAAACGGATGTTGTAGCGCACCAGGTCGAACATCATCGAAAGCCTCTTCCAGTGACAGGCCGCAGAACCAGCAAAGAAGACGAGCGGCTCAAGCAAACCCCGTCTTTCAACACTGGCAAAAACAAAAACAAAAGACTAAAGATCTCTCAAAACACTCCCAGGAAGCATGTCAATGCCCTTGGCTGGGCCCTTCAATTTCAAAGCACCATCGACAAATTCCTCCACTGTAAGACCACCGCTGCCATCCACATCAAGCAAGGTGAAGACAATCCGTGCGTCCGTGATGTCGATATCCAAGCCGGAGAGGAAGGCTTGGACCCAGGGATTCTCCAGCTGAATACAAAACTCTTCAAACGTAATGAACCCGTTCCTTTCTGGATCATCAAAGAATTCAAAAGCTGTTTGCAAAGCTGAAAGTGGTCTCCTTCCTTCATTCTTTGAATGCCTACGTGGAACACAAAAGTAACAAGTTATTGTATGGTTGTGATCCCACGATCTCTACTTTCCTTGCTGTATGGTTGTGATCCCTGCTGGTTCTACATGGCTTCGCTCCTCTCAACAGCTAAATGACACATTTCATTGTTAAGTGCAAACTACGAGGTCCACGCACCATAGATGAAGTTCTGAAAAAGGAACAAAATGTTCTGTCGACGCAAATCATGGGTACCCGTCCATATCGGCATCTGTGAAGATCCGTTTCATCTCACCGCAAAGTCGGGTTTGCTCCTCGGTGAAGCTTTCGACCACCTCATCTTCCGTGCGAGTGCAGACTGCAGAGTCCACAAAAATGCCTGGCGACATGGCAGAGGATGTCAGTTGGGGAGACTCAGACGGTCACACCCAACACTTACTAGGAACTTGGACGCTACTACGGGCTCCTGGCCTTACTACTAAGAACAAGAAGCTCCTAGGAGCAGAAGAGTAGCAAATGCGACTCGCACAACAAGATGGTATGTTGCGTTAGCCTGGTGGTCCACACGCAGTGAGAGGGTGCAGCGTCTCAAGAATCCACACATGTCGTGATTGAAGGGAGGGTCACGATATGTCACGATACACCACAATGACTTTTTGAGTGGGTAAAGATCACGACTGGCAGGACTCAGGAATGGCCAAGCTCTCCAAACTTTTGGCAATCCAGGACTGCCTATCGAGCGGCAGGTATCCAAAATATTGGACCGTATACGAGATAGTATGATGTGGACTCCTAAAACCTACACCAATCAGATATATTCTACATGTACAAGCGGCGTACTTAAGTTAACCCACGTCGCGTGAAGTCAACTCACTGCATGGGCACAAGGTTTCAGCGAGAAGTCAACCCATTCGTGTGAAGTCGACTCATTTTGGTTAAAGCACAATGGGCACACTTGAAAAATGAGCACGGCAGGAAAGTGGTTTGTTCAAGGAAAAGTGTGCGCACACTGTGTTATGGCTGGCATTTGGCCTTGCTTTCTAGATGTTTCAAGCCCAAATCTCAATGGCACAGCACCATTCACACCAATGCACAACTTACAGAGAGGGTCGTATGCGCGCACACACACACACACAAGTGACTATAGGCCTCTGCGCGAGCCCCGCGGGACCCCGCGCGAGGTTCGCGCGAGCACGACTCCTATTACAGTCGTCCTACAGCTTCCTACGGTCAGGAGCAGCAGCAGCCAACCAGAAGCAGCAGCAGCAGTGGAGCGTGGGCCCAAGGAGCTCTGCATCAAAACTGTCACAAATCCTTGACCCTTCACATGTGTTATAGATCAATACAATCTATGCTTAGACATCCCTATGGAGTGCAGTTCTGCAAGGGCACACGGTTTCGAGTCGACTTTACACAAGCTGAGTCGACTTAACGCTAGTACCTAGTATGTTCAGCTCATGGATGCTACAGAAATGTCCGGAGCACGACCCGATTGCTTCAGCTCTTCGACCGTCCCATCCTGTCACCACGTTCAAGAGGCCCACCAAGCAGAAGAAGATGTAGAAGAGGAAGACCACGAAGTAGATTTCACCTGGCCCATCCCGGATCATCATTCCATAGAACATCCAGTCGTTCCCCCCACTGATCGCAGAGAACAAACTCACCAAGGTCAAGTAGACGCCGCCAAAGAATTCAAAGACCAGATCCGAATTCTCCACCTGATCAGGCTCTCCGGTCGCTGAAATCGCAATCTCCCCCTCAAAAGCTGCAAACAAGTGAACCCTAAAACGAAAGATCGGCCTGTGGTGCCTTTTTGGGCTGTGTTTTTCTCTTGGCTCTTCAGGTTGCCACCTTCGTAATGACTAAAGCAAGCAAGCAAGAATCCTACAGGTGTCAGCTCTTTCGCTTTGGGGAATCTTCATCGTTGCCGACCTGTCTAGTGTTGTTCGGATCCATGAATTGGAAGTAGTAGGCCACGCCATTGCAAAAAATAATGCTGAACATGAACATGGTCAGCAACAACATGACAAAGGCCCAGAAGAGGGCCGTCATCGAGGTGATAATTGAGAAGAGCATGGTTCGCAGACTCTTCAGGCTCCGCACGGTTCGCACCAGTCGCACCACACGGACCAGGCGAAACACCCGGAAGACACGGAGAAAGGACAAGTTGAGCATGCTGTCCTGGACCGGGTGTGAAGTTGAATGGGGCTCATAATGTACCTCAGCGTATAAGGTCACTTAGGATGCTATTAGGTGGAGGCCATTGCAAGTCGGTTGGAGGTCATCGCTACTAGCAACAAGAAGCTATAGTACAAGAAGTTTCCTTGGGAATCGTTTCACTGGGAATCGTTTCACCTGTAGTAACAAGAAGCTACTAGTAGGTCTTTGAAGCTACTAGTAACAAGAAGCTACTATCAGGAAGATCCTGCTCGTCTCGCTGTTTCCGTTTCCCTTCGTGTCCAGCAAAATCTCCAGGATCGAACTGGCCACCAGGATCACGTCGAACAGGTTCCATTGCCGCGACGGGCCCAGGAAAAAGTCCCAGCCCTGTCCAAGCGCCTCACACTTCACAGAGGGTGCCAGGCGTGGCGCGGACCGTGTGGTTTTGTTGGGGTTCACGCGAACACGTGCGGACCAAGCATGAGCTGGACCAACACAGTCCAAGAAATTGGCTGGAGCTTTGACGAAACTTATCGGGGCTTGGTCAGTGCAACAAGGACAAACACGAATCAACTTCCCTCGGAGCAGTCGTGAGAGTTGGTCGTCGTGGGCTTTTGTGTTTGCGTTTCTACAAACAGAGAAGTCGTTGTGCGCTTCTGAGCGCACCCTTACCACCTGAGGCTTCCGAAAGTACACTCAGAGCTCGGAAGAGAAACACGTGTCCAGATCCAAAGCTTTCACCGAACACCTCAAACATGGAAGTGAAAAGATTTCTTGGTTCTTAGTCATGGTCTTCCCAAAAAGCGCAATGCCACTTACGTACATTGTGCGGATTTTGTTCGTCTGCTTAGCAAGCACAGGAGCAAAGCTGGTACAGGAAGAATGACTTGGAAAAAAGGTAAGTGCGGAGTCTCTGAAGACTGCTTCTGTCTTTCTTGGACCCCACTTTCAAGGACGCCTCCTACAACTTCTTCCGACTGCGTTCAGAAGGCCTTCAGGCGAAGGCGAAGGCCTCCGACGGCAGAACCCTCGGGCCTTCACCACCATCTCCAAGGCGAACCACACGGTGAAGACATACTCCGGAGTACGATCCAGCTGGCCGGGCACTTGCCCCGAAACGTTCCTCGTGTGGCGGGGCGAAGTAAGATCGCTCGAAGAAAACACAGTGGTTTTGGGCGGCGCTGCCCGCATCGCGGCCGACAGGGGAAAGAGCAGCACCCCAGGTTAGGGAGTGAGACATTGGGGTGGAGAGGTACCAGTAGGTGCTGGCTGTAAAACAAGCTTTTCTGGTGACAAGCAAAGGGGGATTGAAGTTGAAAGGGTGGGGACAAAGCTGGCTGTCTCAACAGTAAATGCGTTTACTTACTGATTCCAAGTCATGACTTGCAAGCTCAACAGGCCAAAAGTTTAGTTCTGGGTAACATTGCCCAGCCGCTATCCAAACCTGATTAAGGTGATAATATAATGGCTGACACCGCGAACCACATGTTTTTGCTTCATGGGATTGGGGGGAAGACCATCGATTCCCTGAGCGACTTCCAACCAAAGAGAAAATCATGCTCAAACGTTCCAGGAGATTCAAATAGCTGTTCTTCACGGACATGTCTGCAGCAATTCCCAGGTACACCGTGTTTGCGACGATGGCAAGGGTGCACAAAAATTTGAAAAACGAGCTTTTGCAGAACGTTGTCATCCAGTGATCTTCTGGCTTACCTCCAAACGAAGCGACAAATGGTCCGTTGGTGAAAAACGTACCAGTGCGAGTTCAAGCAATAATCAAATCGCGGATAGTTGAGGTTTGGGTAGAAGAAGAAGAAGAGAAAAGAAAAGAAAAACCAACGGAACCAAAGACCGACTCAGGCCACCTCCGAACCAATTCTGATTGTATAGGACGCTCACCACTTCTCGGCAACTCTTCAAAGGGGCGTTCTCAGCAGTGTTGCGAGGGTCCGCTCTCTTCCTTGGCTGATATGGCACCTAGAGGACCTAGAGCTGACAATCTAGGAATGGATCCAATTAGAACACAAAGCTGGGAGTATGCTTCAAGAAGTAGCGTTTGCAAGTTCGAGGGAAGTCCTACTAGAAACTTGAACCTAAAATGAGTCAGGCTCTAATCTAAAACAAAAATACAATACTTTTATCGTAGGACTTTCCTACCTGGGAAACTTGTCAAAAAGGAAATATGTTGAACGAACTCCAGGCTTCAATTGTCCCAATCGAGCCGCGCCCAACATGCCACCGGAACTCCCAATGCTGGTGGCCCAGCGATTGAGACTCGAAGACGGGATTCCAAGCAAATGTGTATGTGCCCTGAAGCTGGACTTTGTCTCGCCCTTGAAGGCTTCCTTCGCAAGGATGGAGATGGAGGGACTTTTCGGCCACCCGTCTATCACCCACTCCCCACCTATCAGATACCTCCACCCCTCCCAAGACCTTTAAACTGAGTGCTGTTCAAAACCTATCCAGATTTTGTTCTAGTTCTAATCGGGTTGTGCTTTTCGCAACTCCCGTTCGCAACGCTTTCGCCACTTGCGTTTTAGCTTGCACGCGCTTTGTTTTGCGCAAAGCCACTTTCGCAAGCTTTCGTGGACAGAACTGATTTACAGGAACCACAACGTGTTTGCAAAGGCATCTAAAAGAAGAGCACGCAGCTGTTTTCCAGCTATAAGGGATGTGGGGACATATCGTTAAACTTTGTTGGAATTCCAAGGTCGTTGAGCGGTTATCTACATGTGTGCGTCTCAAACACTGTTCGTGGATTGAAAGCATCATGAAAAGCGGGTACAGCATGGCTGTAACCCACATGCATGTTGACCACGACCGGTCTCTGGTAGACAAAAACAAGCCAAACAAGCAAACATGGCCATGGCCAAGCAAGCTCGGCTCCACCGGGTGGATCCTCTTTCGAAGCGCGTTTGGCACACGAGCCTGGCTCCTCATTATCTGTCGTGCTTTGGCTCTGGAAAGGCCAAGAGCAACGCGACACATCACCAGCAAGTGACAGGTTGTATGGTTGAGTCTTGATGGCTAAGAGCTGAACAAAGAAAAAAATCAGCTCGCTAGCGAGCTCCAAGGTTACCCCCGAGCTCCACTCAGAGCTCGGCACCCAACACCCAGCTATATGAACACATGAAAATTGCGAATCCAAGCGTCCAGAACGCTGGGCTCCAAAGATTGTGAGACCCCTTGATCCGGCAGCACCGGCACCTCCTCGCTTGGTACAACGCCCAGCAATTCTGCCGATGTGTTGTCGGGGGCTCTCAATCTTCCTCGGCTTGTTACAACGCCTTCAAGGCTTTATAGAGGAAAGGGATTGAGGGTGTCCTAACCTACCACCTCAGATTGAGGATCCATTCTATCAGTGCAGGATGTTGTCCATCAACATGGAAAAATGATGAAAAATGAAGGGGGGTGCCAGGCTGCCATGGTTCACTATGGATGCTCGATGGTACAGCCATTGGCATCAACTTAGTGCCTCACCAAACAGTGCACATCCCTCCAACATCTAATTACTTGTGACATGAATATCCACCAGTTGCACTGACTCCAGGACCTTGCAACAAGAAGTCTTTTGGAGCCTCCATCAACTTTTGACTGCTGCACAGTGTCGGGCTCGCTCCAGCTCTTTCCGCAAAGCCAAATTCTCCGTCTGAAGGCCTTCGCACAAGTGCGCCAGCTCGTCCAAGCATCTCCGGAGCTGAGGCGCCAACGCCATGGCGCGCAGCACGGAGATGGCGTCGAATCTCTGTGGATGAATGGGATCTTGGTGACCCACCACAGATCAAGGCTGTTTGGATCAGATAGAATCGAAGTTGTCGATCATCTTGCAGGATGGTCATGTTCTGTTACGGCCTTGAGGGACAATCTGTCTGTCTGGCAAATCTGCATGCTGGATGACATGGCTTGAGCTTGGCTTGCTCCAGCATTAAAAAAGCGCCAATCGCTTTGTTTGTTGACAGCGTCAACTCTGTTCTGTCAGAACCCTCTTTACCACTGCCTGCCATGCCATGTTTCAAAACCTCTACTATTGGGTCCATGTAGCCTCGTCTCAAACTACAGGAACCCTTCCAGAATAGAAGAAGCAACCAACAAGCTCAAAACCCCAAGCAACTTTCTTTCCCAGCACTCCCATTCCTGGGGCATCCGATCCTCGCTTCCAGACCCGGCCAGATTCTCGAATCGGCGCCTTCACCGGTCATCTCCCGTAGCTTCTCTGCACGAGACTCAGCACGAGGCTTCTCTGCGGAGAAGCAGGCAATCGGTGACCCAGCTAACATCCCAAGATCCACTCTACCGCAAAAAATATCCAGCCTCCTTCCTCCATTTTTGCAACAGGAGTGAACTTTTCAGGCACTCGAGGCATATCATGTTCCGGATGCTCATCTGATTGTGGAAACTGGTGCAGAAAGAAACTTCCCCTGCAATAATCAAAATGATATATAACAGGTGTTGAACAGCTCCGAAAGTTCCAGGACCTTTGCAGCACTGGAAGTGGGCTGAAGTTGAACCATCAACGCCACACGAATGGCTAGAGTCGCCCTTTAGGCCCCCCTCGTGCAAACACCAGGTGTTCAACCCTTCATGGCCATTGTGAAAAAATATGTGAAAAGGATCAGTCTTAGTTGACATGAACAGAGCAAGTTTTGCAAGGAAGACACCTGTTCATCAGGAGAGGTGTTCTCCAAAAAGCTTCCTGCACCACCTTGCAGCAAGGGCCCCACTGCACCCACAGGACCCCACCCTCATGCCGAGGTGCCCCCCCACCCGACAGGTTTGCCGCCCTCTTGACACCTGACAGGGATGTCGGACGAAACAAGCTTGGGGAAACCCTCTAAGAAAATGGTTGGCCGTCACACTCCGGTCCTTCTAGCTTCAATGAGAGCTCTTCCTATTTTAGGCTTCAATAAATCATGAAGTGAAGGTGCTTCCATCTGAGTATGTTGCTTGGACTGATAATATGTCTCAAATGCACCTCACGTCAAGGTACAGGGCCACATATAACAGCGTATTTAGGGACCATATATATACTATCGGGGGTGCGAAGTCATTCGTCAAGTCTGAGACGAACTCATTCCCAGGTGTTCAGGGATTCTTAATGCACCAGGATTGGAAGACATGTGGTGATTCTGCGACAACAGACCCAGGCGAGTCTTCAACGAGCTGCATGCTTGGTGGAAGGCATGAACTTTCACAGCCCTATACTGCCTGACAAAGCCTGCCAAATTAGTATTCAAAGCACCTACTTTGATGTGTACCCTCCCAAGCTCACACAGCGAACTTGGAACATGATTCTGCTATATTCAGTTTGCATATATAATATATATATATATATATATATATATATAGTGTCTTCTTTTTTACCGGGTGGGTGCGTGTTTTTCTTCGCTTTTGGGCATGGTTCACCGGGCCCATTCCCCAGTCCTGTGGTCTCTCCATCCGAGTACTGAAACAGCTTCTTCGCTGCGTCCGCAATGCTCGCTGAGGTGTCCTACTTCAGCTGTGGGGGTTGAAACAGGTCATCGGCGGAGTCTGTTCCGTCCCTGGGGGATCAAGAGGTACAAGAATCAGATGTTGTACCAAACAAATTGCTAGCATGCATCTCTGAACAAGCCATCTTTCCATCAGTCCATAATCGAGATCCTGCGTCAAGCCAAGAAACCACCTATGATTGTTCCCCTGGCGATTTCAGTCTTCGCGCTCCACTGGCAGGTCTGTTCGGAGCTTCCCAAAAAATCACCGCCGCGTCACGCACTGGGGCCGGGGTTTCCTGGGTGTCGGCCAAGACCAACGCTATAGGCCCGGGCTCCTGGGCATCGAGCACCGACCGGTGGACAGGGATGGCAGCCTGGACTGGTCCATGCAAGACCGATTTTTTGTTTTCGGTCTCCACCTGCGTAGATCTGTACGACATTCCCACCGGTGAGAGCAATTCACTTCTTCAAAAATACCAAGAGACCTTCTCCAAGCCTAGTGAAGCACTTTGTAAAACCTTCGGCATATGATACACATACACATACATATGATATATGTTCCATGCGATTTCCATAAATAACTTACTTCCCTACCTCAGACCCTTGCACTGCTCGGTTTCCCCTACCTCGGTTTCCTCCACGTCGGGCCAGTCACCTAGCCGTCCCTGCCCCAGTGCGAAAAACTCCTCCTCTGTCAAGGGGTCCTGGTCAGACACCTGACCGTGAGCGTCGTGAGCGTCGTGACCCTCACGAGCCGAGCCGATCGTTCGGGAAGCCGAGCGTGACACAAGCCAAGCAAGGAGAGGCGTGGCAATCAGGTGAAAAGGAGTGGCAATAAGAGGAAACGGCCCCATCTCGGCTTTTGTTCAACCAACCCCTGAAAATGAAAAGCTGAGATCTTTTCGAAGCACCCAGTCAAGAAGCTCTTGGTGGTCGCTCTTGCTGACTTGGATCACCGATCATGGAAACTAAACAAACCTATCCCATTGTTTCGACAGGGTTGCCACCTTGTGGCTCGTCATGGATCGCATCACTCGAGATCCAAAGGCACCTGCAGGGACGCCAGCATCAGGTACACAAAGGCCTGCAACAGGTGGTTGCAAATGGCTCCAACTCTAGGCGACTTGTGCTTTGAAGACTAAAAATCTCACGGATATAGGAACCGTGCTTCTTTATGTAGACTGGCATGGGCTCTAAGGGGCCACTGAATCAGCGCTGAGGAGCTGGCTCCTGTCTCAGGCTCCCTCTCGCACCGAGAGCTTCGCCAGACGAGTTGGTCATCGTCCGACATGCCACATGCTTTGCTTGGTTTTCAGCCCCCCCAAACTTGGTCTCAGTTTTTAAGGCCAGTGAACTTACTGATCAGACCTGAGTCTAATACAGTCTAACTGGTCTTCATCTCTCTAGGTTTGGTCGCCAACTGCTCCACGACTGGCTTCGGGGTCCGGCCTCCGCGCCCGACTTCGCTTCGGAGACCAGGATGGCATTCTCACCTGCATCGTGAAGGAAGGACTGGGAAAGCGTGAAGGAAGGCCCAAATGATGTTGATTTTCTGGGAAGGCCCACGTCCATGTGAACTTTTTGGGACTCTGTGCATAGCATTTTGGAGGAGGAGACGTTCCTATTCACTTTGTAGATGTGTTTATTAAATACTCGTCATCATGGACGAGACTTCACCGACTGTTCAAGGTTCAAGACCAGGAGAAATCCCGAAATGTAGCCTTCAATCCAGTCTCCCTAAAGATTAGGCGGTATTAGTCAGGGCAGCTGTAGCCATCTAGCCATATGGTCGCAATGACAGACTGTGACGATCGGTAGACACCTTCCATTCTGCGTTTGATGCCACGGCCACCACATGCAAACCAGCACAAGCAGCCGCACCTGCCAAAACGATCGGCAGGAGCTGGGCCTGGCCATCCAACAAGTGCGGAAGGCAGAGATTTGTTCGCTTTTTTGCACTGCGGAAGGCAAAGGAGTTCAGTATCAAGCATCAACAATGCCTTCCAGAAATGAGGTTGGCTTCACGACAGCCATTGCCACCCAAGCGTCCAAGCGTTGACTTAAACTAAAACATGTCAAACTGTTGAAGCTTCGCAGTTGCAGAACCCAGAATCCCTGTGCCCAACAACGGGTTGAAAGCCCCCGATCAAAGAACCTATCTCACTTGTTCCTTCTGCTCATGTTCCTTCCTGCCTGTATCGCTGACGCTGTGGCCGCCTCATCAAGCTGCTCCCAGCGGATCGCCTAAGACGAGGGCGGGGCGGGCGTTCTGAAGGACTGCTTGGTGCTGGCTTCTGAAGATCAACTAATTGTGCCTTTCTTCTTGTTTTTTCGTGTTCTGCTTGGAGAAGCCACAAGTGGTGATTGATGGATCTAAAACCCCACCCTTTTGGGCCGAGCTCGCCTCCGCCAGCCAGTTGGGGAGCGGCAGCTCCGTCAGCTTCTGCAAAGGAGGCGCCGTCGTGTCCTGAGGCCAAGGCGGCCAAGGCGGCACTGCGCCCTTCATGAGTGGAATGACCGGGATGACGGATGATTTGGATGATCGGAAGCAAGATGATTGGGAGGATTGGCTGAGAACACGGCCACCTTGTGCGAAGCCCACAATTCTTGCCCCTCCGATCCCTGCAGACACCTCGTTGCAGCTCGCAACATGTCAGAACAGCGAGCGAAATCTTCACTGGAGCTGTAAATACAGTACCCAGCGCGGCGCTTCTTTGCGCCACAAATGACTGGACACTAGGCACAACGCAATCGATCTCGAAGAGGGGACACAATGATTTCGATCCCTGCGTGTCGCCTCCAACGCCGTGGCGGCCGTACAATGTGCGTCAATCTACAGCGGACAGGCCAGAAGCACTGAGGCCCGTTACAGGCTTGTGCAACATGTGCTGCGGCTCACTCCTTTGCTACCAGGCGGCTGTCTGCTGCTGAACAGTGAAAACTCCTAAGAACAATCGGGCGCCTGAATCAACTGCCACAGAAAGCTAGCCCGCCAGATCAACTTGGATTGAATGTGATCAAAAACGCCACCATCTCCTCCTCTTCCACCCTTCTCCTCTTCCACGGCTCACGCCAAGACCCTCTTCGGTCTCATCAGCACCTTCAACATCGATAATCTCGGCCAGCCTGTTCTGGCGTACTGGGCTGCTTGAGTCCAAGAAAGCTTCTAGAGTTCTCTGAATCATCTTGTTTCAGCATTTCTGCACTGCGAAGGGAGTTGGCACTGCACAATCCCAAAATATGGAATCGAATGCAGAATGCATGTCACGGGGAGCTTCAAATGCATCGCGCAGAAATGGGCTATGCCCTTCAGCTGCAGGTCTAGCAAGATACAGTAACGTCTCACAAAACGCATGACTTTGCGGAAAGTAAAGTAGGCTGTTGTCACCTTAGGACGTGGATTCAGGCCCCCAATCAGGACCATGAAAGAAAGGTTCCAGATCTGATATTTCCCCAAACATCTTACACGGCCGTCAAATTACCAGCAGCGAATAAGCGCAACTCAATCTGGGCAGCAATCAATGCATAAACTGGCATAAACCAACTCTTTCAGTCCAAGATTCCCATCAGGCACCTCCGACCAGCTGTTCTTGACAACTGGAAGAACGGCTGGCCCACACGACAGCACGTAGTTTGATCCCTGGTAGGTGAACATCGTCGCACTTCTGGATGTTCCAGCCTTTCTGACAACAAACAGACCAGTGGAAATCGGTGGTTTTGCTGAAGACCTTGACATCCGCTCACGTCAGGTGCCTTCATCTTGGAACTATTCGATCTGACAAGCTGTTTGCTTGCATAGGTTTGGAATTCCTGAGCGCTGGCCATCATTAAAGAAGATCAACACCTCCTTCTGCAATTCCTCCCACGGGATGGTTGGGGTGATTGGAAGTGGGATGACTGGGATGATTGGTAGTGGGATGGCTGGAATGATTATAAAGGGATGATTGAGATGATTGGTAGTGGAATGACTGGGACAATTAGTCACTATCATCTACGAAACCACGAGCCTTTACAACAATGAGCTGACTCAGTTTTGGCTTCTTCCGGGGGCGTTTCTGCATAGGAGGACGTCTGCAGAAAAGGCACTCCATGACACTCTGCTGTCCCACAGATCCTCCTTCCATTGGAGTGTTTGGGAGCTTCGCTATTTCTCAAGCTCGCTATGTCAAGCTCCCCTCAAGAGGCAAGCTGGGGAGTCTTCAAGAGGCAAGCGGTGATTCCCAAGAACCACCGAACCACTACCATGGGCAACGACATGGGAGGCTTTTTGTTCGACAAGCACCTCTCATGCCAAGACATACAAATCCAGCTAAAACATTGAATCGAATCCATCAGATGTACCGAGTGACTGGGACTTCCACCCAGGAACTGTCCTTCAAATCGCACGTCCTCTCGGCTCCCCAACCTCGCCCGCAGGATTCTCGATGGAGATGCCCAAAGCCTTCCGCCTGCGTCCGCCCTTGAGGCGCGAACTCGGGAGACTTCGTACGGAAGGCACCGCTGTTTCGGGAAACTCGTGCGGAAACTGGCCTCGTGTGGCTTTTGGTCATGAAGCATTTGGGTGTGGACGGATGGAAAACACTCAACTGGCCCCCGTTCTTGCTATGAATCCCCACAAGCTGTTAAGCATGGAGTGGCAAGACATGTCTAGTGGTGAAGAGCGGGGATCACCATCCGTTTCGAAGCCGGTCTGTGAGCCAAAGCCGATTGGACCAGCGTCCAGAAGAGGAAGCAGGCTCACTTTTGAGGGGGTGCACGCTGGTCACTCGCTCATTGGTTTCAAGCCCAGCACTATTCGAAGGGCGCTTCTCGGTCCTGTGGGTTTATTCCAGGACTGCTAGGGAGTGGTCTTTGCCAGCACCCTCGAAGAAATAAAGGATCGCCAGGATGACGTAGGTGACAAGCAGCAGGAGACCTCACAGAGAAAAAGCAACGTTGAGGAAAAGATTGTCAACGAGCAAAATGATAGGAACAAAACATGGTTGTGTCCAGTGGTTTGACTTGTAATTCCACAGAAGAATCATGACCAGGAAGTGTTAGCCTGTTGGCCATTGACTTTCTCTTTGAAAGAGACTTCGAGGGTGTCCCACAGCCTTAAGAGTGCTTGTTCTTACGCATAGTGGCATAGTGGTGGACCTGGATCTGAGCACGACAGCCTATCTTTACAGCCTTTTTGGTCTAACAGCATATCAAGGATATTTTTGAAAGAATTGCTTCTGTGAGAAAGAACCTGCAAAGTCGCTAAAAGGTATCCACCGAAGCAAGATAGTCGGATCACCACCCTTGCCCCAGGCATGCAACCTGAACAACATGGCAACCCAACTGGCTGTGCGCCTTCCAGCCAGTTGGAGCTCCCATCATTCAGGATGCCCTCTGTCAAGAAGACAGCGATGAACAGCACGGCGAGCTGAAAAGAATGGAAGTCCAAGGACATGTCCTGAGAGAAGCAGAACCATGAAATACAGCTTTGGGGATACAGTTGGTTATTTATTGATAGTCCTTGTAGCAAACAGCCACCTCTGAGAGGCATTGAGTATTGGATGCAAGTAATTGAGCACCACACCGGTCCGAGGCTTCTGCAATGCCAGTGGGTACGTTTGGTTCAATGGACGGTAGATACAAATACAAACAGAAAAACATGGAAAAATGCCCCTCACTTGAAAATACCACTGAATCGCCTTGCCTACTCCTAGCATCTGTTTGTGGAACGCTGAAGAAGAAGAAGAAGAAGAACAACAACAACAAACAACAAACAACAAACAACAAACCAACAAACCAACAAACCAACAAACAACAAACAACAAACAACCAACAACAAACAACAACAAACAACAAACAACCCACAACCGACAACCGACAACCGACAACCAGAACAACAACAGTAACAACATCAACGTCCCTTCCGGTTGACCCCCTCCCTGCCACCAAAAATCACGACCATAGGCCCAACCCACAAGGACAGTGAAGGGGGTCACTAGCAAGGCCATCTGGCACGAGGAGCCCGCAGCCACACCTGCAGATCGCAATGGCAGGAGGGTTTGGGCAGTTCGGTTAGGGCCCGCTGTTTAGTTATATACTCCAAACAAGCATCCGTAGGAGAATCCTGTCATCCCAGTCCTGGATCCCATATTCAACACCTATAATTATCCTCCATATATCTCCATATATACAATTGCACTGCTGAGCTGTGAGTGCCTTGGGGAATCAGTTTCCCCCTTCAGTTTGGATGACGTCGAAAGAGCAGGCCCTCCAAGCTTCTTTAGTATCTCAACAGGGTGCGCTGCCGCTGGATTCGCACGAATCGTGCGATGTTCTCGTTGTTCCCCCGAGGCGTGTGACCGGAGCTCCCGCCCCAGAGCAGCAGGCCGTCCATCGGGTTTTCTCTCATCTGTCCGACCACGTATGCTATACCCATGGTCAAACCAGGTATGCTATACCATAGGTATCATAGGTTTTTGTTTGACCCAGCGAGATAGCCTATGATCTGTCCGACCATCGAAGGCCGCTGATGGCCGTGATCTGATCACATCCACTCACGCGTCGGCCTAAGGCGAGGTCCATCTTGTTCCGCATGGCCACTGTGATGGCCGTGTAGTGCTCGGCCGCGTTGCCGATGATGGGCAGCAGGATGATGCCAATGAACCTGACGTTCAGATGTTCAGGAGAGGCAAACCTCTTCAAGTTCTTTGACCACCCACCAAAACCTTTTGAATGGCCTTGTCCGATACCCGAAAGTGATCACTGATCATGGACCTGCGGTCGTGGGCGGTAGATAAAATCCTTCAAAGCAACTAAGCAGCCTCTGTTGCAGAAGATGAGCAAAGGGCCGAACCCGGCGAACCAGTGTTTGTTCCAAGTTCCAAAATACTCCAAAATACTCCAAAATACCTCATAAATTAAATACCTCTTCCTGAAGTTCGAACCCCCAACCCAGGCCGCACTCTTGTGAGAGGTCGAACTTCTCGACGGTGCCCTCAATCGAATCCTTGCACAGTCGGAACCGGTCGGAACCGGTCGGAACCGCGGTGTCGTTTTCAGCGGCCGGGGCTGGTGGTGTTGCCGAAGCAAACAGAAACATACAGAAACCGGGGAAGAATGGTATGTAGGCCCCGAAAGGTTCTGGGGGTATCGGTTCTGTGAAGAGGTGATATTCGTGACAAGAAATTGTGATTGGATTCGACCATCCACGCTAGGAACCATCTCTGCCGGCTGTTGGAAGCTGTGATATTTTTTTCTGTGTCCAGATCCCGTCCATGTCAGGTTTCACCACGGAGCCGACAGTTTGGGGAAGACCTGGCCTGAAGATTCCATTGGACCACTTCCATCAAACAATTCCAAACACTAACCGGATCTAACTGGGGGATCGGTCTGGATATGTTTGGACCACCCGCCCCACATGTTTTGGGCCCGAACCGCACGCCGGAACTTCGAAACCGTCGCGAACCGCTGCAGGGTGTCGATGAGGAAGTCCGTGGAGTAGGAGGTGAGCACTGTGGCGATGGCCAAGACCACCGCCGCAAAACAAGGAGACAAGTCCGGCTCCTCCTGCAGGTACCAAAAAGGATCCTGGTCTCATTGGTTCAAGATGATGACAGCACCAAAAAAAGTAAAATAGAAAACAAGGGGGCCATCGCTACTTGAGGCCGAGGGTAGGTGACGAAAGCTAGCAGGGGTGCATCCGGACTGGTGGGACATCAAGCGGAGTGAGGCAAATGCTCATGAGGTAAAACGTTGTGAACATGTAAGACACACAAACAGCAATGACACAGCCAACCTTAGAATTGAGGTCCCCGATAATTAAGGAAGCGTGGCTGGACTTTGCCACACTGTTCGATGCATCCGATGTGTTCACGAACCTGTGAGCTTGTTGAATCTGTTGCACCGTATCCCAAAACCTCCACGGAGGAGTTGAACCAGTGTGGATGCCATAAGAGGTGCCCAAGAGGTGTCCCAGAGGCAAAACAAAGCTGCTTGCATGATTTGTTTGGTTTCTTCTATCGATGTCGATGTCATGAACATGTGAGCTTGTTGAATCTGTTGCACCGTATCCCGGAGGAGTTAAGCCAAAGTGGATGCCATAAGAGATGCCCGAGAGGTGTCCCAGATGCGTCCGAGGGGGGAGTTGAACCCATAGGGGGGGGGAGGGGGGGCCCCCCGTGCATGTGAAATATTCACATGATGCGGCGATCTTGAGGATTCCAGCCCCTCACTTGCTAAAGCAAGGGCAACTCCAGCTAGCTGGTGCTAGCTTTCGTGATTAGGTTGGAGGCCATCGCTATCAGAGTTTCTGAAGCCGACCGACACCCTCTCTCCTCCTCTTCCTCGCCCGAATCAAAGAGCGCCTGAAGAACAGGTCTCTGAGGAAGAAACGCCCGGGACACGTCGTGACACATCAGAATCTGGAATTCCACCCATGTGATGGTCCATGTGACGCACTTCGGAGCAAGTTAGACATTTAAAACCCAACCACTGCCACCTATTGAGAAAAAAGATATGATTTGTCTGTTTAGTGGGGACAAATCGCAAAGAACTCTCCCAAAACGGAAAGATTGGAAATGAACCAATCTTTGTGGGTGCGGTGGTTTGATCAAACCTATTGACTATGCATGTGCAGGTGATACAATCCCCTACAACTGCAGGAATTGTTCATTGCAGCTCGCACGATCGGTCACACCCGAGATCGGCCTGATGAGTGCCCAGCTGAAAATAGAGGTAGGCGGCATAGGTCATCAAGAGAAAAAGGGAAGCCCAGCGCGACACCTGAGGGTTAAAAGCACGTCGCTTGTGCCATGGATGGTCAAGTGTGGACAACTGGAGCTCCGCAACTGCTTTCTTGTTGTTGATCTTTATCCTTTCGGGGCGCCTCTGGTGCTTTTCTGTTTGTCTGTTTGATGAGCAGGTGGTTGCCCAACGAAGTTCATACCGAAATCGGTGGTCGTCTGTTGCAGTGCTTTGGAACCATTAGAGAACTGCTTTCCAAGATGCCAAAGTGCTGGTGAACACCACATATGAGTATGAGTCCATGCATGCCTTTGAGTCCGAACCTTTGGTGCAAACCTCTGCACCTCCAGCATGTGCTCGAACTCGGCACTCTCTTGGAGGATTTTGGCGTACAGGGTCGGCAGGCCGATGGTGAAGACACTCAAAGCCATCAGGGAACCTCTGAAGTCGGGATCTGCTTGCTGGGATCAGAGCTCCGATTAAAAGAATGAAGAACATGAGATCAATAAAAATGCGAGTTGAGACAGGGAGACCTCCCAATTCGATGCACACCTATGTCAATCGCCAACGGTTGTAGGGTCTTGTCCTTGGAGCAAGGAAGAATGAACGTTACCTGCCTCAGTTAAGGGGAGTGAGAAAGCCAGCTTCCTGTACTAGGGGGTCTGCAGGAGAACAAAGTGCCCCGGAATGACTGCATGCTTCACAAAACAAAAGTTTCGTACAATGAGAGGATTTCACATATATACATATATATATATATACAGTACCTGTTTTAGGGTAAAGGAACACCTTAATGCCTGCAAATGCAATAATTCTGAGTTCCAGAAACCAACATAGCAACCACCTCAAAAGGTACAGGCAAGTTCTCATCTTTTCCACTTGAAATACTTGAGCATGGCTGTGTTGCGAACTGAGGGAGGGTACACCCAAAAAAACAACATGCAAAGGTCCAAAATCATCCAAGACAGATTCATAAATATCAAAGCTCAGTCTCAACATGATCATAAGCTTGGAACGTACGGAAAAGTCATATCTACTGATTATCTTAACTTATAAGTGATAGAAACACCCTCTGGCTCTAAGTGTTCCACTTCTATTTATCTTGCCCTTCCATATACAAATGCAGATTCCAAGGAGCACTGTGTGGCAGCCCCCGGCTGCGAGAACTTCTGCACCGGGTACCGTAGGCCGCCCAGGAAGAAAGCGCAGCCCATGACCAGCCTTGAGTGAAGTCGACCCAAGCAGCACCGGTCGATCCAGATCGATCGACCAATGCCCCAGTGATGGTGAATGTCTGCCACCGGTGGGATCATCAAATGAGATCAGATCGAAACATAGAATTATAGAGTCATCAAGCACACCTGCATTACTCCAGTGGGTTCAGACTCAAGGGCATCATGAGGTTCAGAAGGGCCACTCATGAGGTTCATCAAGTCCATGAAATGGAGTGCCTGTGAAAAGAAGAATGCGGGATCTGGGTCGGCATTTCTGTCAATTTGCTGCACGTCTTTATCCTGCGATAGATTAAATCATTTCAGAACAAGTGTTCTCCCACCAAAGTTGATATGTTCATCTCAAACACGCCCTTGGTTGAAGTTTGTGTGACAAACCAGGCTCTGACCAGGAGGTCTTAGACTTAATGCTGGATCGGATCGTGCAACCTGTTCTCATCTGTTCTCTAAGTTGCGCATTGGTCTGAATGGTGCTGTGCCATTGAGATTTAGGCTTGAAACATCTAGAAAGCAAGGCAAAAATGCCAGCCATAACACAGCAGTGTGCGCACACGTTTCCTTGAACATGTCGCTTTAGTGCCATGTTCGTTCTTCAAGTGTGCCCATTGTGTTTCGACCAACATGAGTCGACTTCACACCCGCGTGTGGGTTGACTTCTCTCTGAAACCTTGTGCCCATGCAGTTCACCTACTTGGGGTTGAATGATCTGGACCAAACCTGGCAAAAACAGTGCTCAACGGCACCAGTTTTTCAACGTCCCGCCCGCCCCTGCACGTAAGAAGTGTGCTTTGCTTTTTGTTTAAACAAAATTATCCCGGCAAGAGACCCCAAACAGTGTGTGTGAGGTCTGTCTAGAGATCTAGACGCATTGGGGTCCAGAGAGGTGATGGTGGTGATGAAGTGAAGGTGGGTGTGAGTGAGTGTGGGTGAGAGGGAGCGTGAGTGTGAGTGAGAGTGTGGGTGCGAGCGAGTGAGAGTGCGAGAGTGAGTGAGAGTGTGGGTGAGTGAGTGTGCGTGTGAGTGTGAGTGCGAGTGTGAGTGAGAGTGACTTTGAATGGGAGTGCGTGTGGATGAGAATGACTGTGAGTGAGAATGAGTGAGTGTGAGTGCGAGTGCAAGTGAGAGTGGGGGAGTGAGTGCGAGCGTGAGTGAGAGTGGGAGTGTGAGGGACTGTGAGTGTGAGTGAAAGTGGGAGAGTGAGAATGGGAGAGCCACGAAATCAGCACTTCGAGGTTCACCAAGTGCTGCGCCTGCCACCAAATCAGCACGTCGAGGTTCACCAAGTGCTGCACCTGCCACGAAATCTGCACTTCGAGGTTCACCAAGTGCTGCGCCTGCCACGAAATCTGCACTTGGAGGTGCTGTGCACCTGCTACGAAATCTGCACTTCGAGGTTCACCAAGTGCTGCACCTGCCGCGAAATCTGCACTTCGAGGTTCACCAAGAGATTGCGCCTGCCACGAAATCTGCACTTCGAGGTTCACCAACTGCTGCACCTGCCACGAAATCTGTACTTCGAGGTTCACCAAGTGCTGCGCCTGCCCCGAAATCTGCAAACGAGCCACATGTCCAAAAGTCACGATTCACTGCACCTGTCACGAAATCTGAGCTCCTCAACGATCACCACCATGTCCAAAGTGCTGCACCTGCCATGAAAACTGCATTTCGAAGTAAAACAGCTCCGATCCCTTGCACCTGTCACGAAAAGTCGACTTTGGAGCACCAAAACACGAGGTTTCCCTTGCGCCTGCCACGAAAAGTGACCACCATGTGCGAAATGCGCACGGCACCACAACGAGACGCAGCGGACACGCCCGCGCAGAACAGCGATCCAAGCACACCTGCTTTTCTATTACCGTAAGAACCCCTAGTGTGACCACACTGTTTGAGGAAAAATGCAGCTTTTGGAGAACCCGGTTTGTGAACCTGATTTTTTTGCGGAATAGAGATCAAGCCACCCACTCAGCAACGTCCGAACAGAAATCCCCCAACTAGAAAATACAATCCAGGCGTCTCTAACAAGGGTAGCCGATGCATCGCCCAAGCAAAACACACATGAATCAATTAAAACAAACATGAATGTATATAATTGTGGAAGACTTATGGAAACCAAAAGTCAAAAGTAAATGACTCACACCAGATTACTCTCTCTCTCTCTCTCCCTCTCTCGCACACACGCAAATCAAGCAGCAACAAGTTCGACAAGATCGAGCCCAGCAAGGTGCATTGCACCACCACAACCTGGTTCCGCCGGATGCCGCTCACGCAGAGCAACATCTCAACCAAGTTCCCAAAGGAGGCGTTCAGCAAGCCACCCATCGTCTGTCCCACTGCTGTTGACAGGTCCTCCGTCGATTTTCCTGCGGTTCGCCGGGCTTCCGGAGTTCCCGAGAAAAAGGGCTTCTCCAAGAAGCTACTAGAACGCTACTAGGACGCTATGCTCGGTGGAGGCCATCGCAAGTAGGTTGAAGGCCATCGCTACTAGGAGCAAGAGGCTACTAATAGTAGCTCCTGGCATTACTAAGACTACTAGGAACAAGAAGCTACTAGCCTCAAGCCCCCCCCAAACCTGGGAACTCCAACGAAACAACTCCCATTTCTAGAAGGAAGCAAAAAACATGTTTGGGCCAGAGGCTCCAATAATCCAGGCCAATGGAATGATAGCCAAGAAGTTGCAGAAAAAGATATATGCCGGCTGCAGCTGCATGGCGTTCGCCACAAAACCCAGCGGCACACAACTGACCAGCATCAGCGAGAGGATGGGGTTGCTCCGGGCGATGTTCACCAAACCTCCAGTGATGGATGGATGGGCGGGCGGGCGGGCGGGCGGATGGATGGATGAATGGATGGTTCAAACATGAAACTTCTGCTCCGACCCACTCGCCATCCAACGTCGACTAGTGTCACAACTGAAGCTCTTGGGCATCACGCCAATACACCCCACCCCATCTCCATCTCTCCCATTCCATCCCAGCCCGTCCCATCCCTGTCGCTCCAATACGCGAATACTGCTTCCGGCTTCCGGGTGTTCACTTCGACATGTTCGCACTCAGCATAGCAGAGTTGCCCCAGGCAAATTATGTGCTCTAGTGATATGAGGAATCGCAAGTACAGTGGTTTCAGAGTAAATGTCATAATCCCTAAAAGGTGGTTTGTATGGACTCCCATGTAAAAGACATGTACGAAACATGTATATAACTGGGCCTTGGAGATAACCCGTCCGGAGAAATCGGATGGTGCAGAAGCTGACAACCCTGTGAGTCCCTGTCAGTCCTTGTCAGTCAGTGCACGCACCAGCGTTGGGAAAGACAGTTTGCTGCAAAAAGCAGTACTTGTTGGCCAGCTGTAGCATGCTTTGACCACAAAAGAAGCAACAGAAGAAGGCCGATGTCTTACATACCCTGCGGGGACACTTTGAGAGCAGCCAACAAGTTCCTTTGGACTGAATTTCAAGGGATCCACTGATTCACTTTCGACTCCTAGACAGGTCATGGTTTTCCAGGTGTTGATCAAGAGGCCATGAAGGTTGTTTGGCCCCAGTTCGGCATCCATCTCCTCCGTATGAAGCTTTGCCATCGCCACGCGATGCTTTGATCACAGGCGACACATGGCGCGTCCAACAGCCACAGCTACGTTTCTACAGACAACCATGGAAGGCCTGATCGGAGGGAAGGGTGGAAGGGGCATGGTCGGCTGATGTTTAAGGCTTAAACCGAACAACAGAAGCAAAAGAGGCAAAGGCAAAGAAGATCAATTGGGCAGTAAAACAAGATTCTGTCCGTTGGCTATGTCAATCCTGGAGCAGGATGAAAGCACTGGCTATCAAAGATTTGTCGAAAAAAGTGTTGGCAACAAAGGAACAGCTTGCATGCACGACAGTGACAGCTTCTGCTGAATTTTGAGCCACAAACATGAATCCACTTGCAAAACGGATCATCGGGCTTGAAAGCAACTTCTTAGAGAACAATCAAAAATCCCAAGATTCACAGCAAGCTATCAAAACCACACGTAACGACATCCGGCTTGTCCGATTGGGAGCGGTAAATAAGATGATTCACACCGCCTGTCACGCTGGACGCCCAACCAACCATGACTCCTGGTTCAAAGCATGGACTGGCTCTGCCCAGGTCAAGATAAAAGGTCTTGGTAAAATCATGCAAGTTCCAACCCCAAATGCTTCATCCGCAGTTGAAGGCGCTTTCCGCACCGTTGTCTGCGCACGGTCACTCTTTCCCCTCGCCTTGCGCTGACCCGCTCCACCCCGCCAGCAGCCTCCACCTCGGCACCGGCGGAACACTGTTGTCTCCTCTTCGGTCGCCAACGCAGGCGTTTGGGTCCAAGAAGTGCAACCAACTCGTCACCGCCGAAAGCTGACCATGCGTGGCTTTTCCAACTCAGAGTCAGAAAGAGTTCATTTTCCGATCCTGTGATCTTGTTCTTCCAATCGTTTGAGGAGTTAATGACTTAAATCAGGCATGTGAGATTTGCTATGGCTCAGAAATGTGTTCTACTTGTCGATTCTTGGTGGAGAAGATTTCGTGAATGATCTCTCTATCGATAGATAGGACGGTGACATATCAAAGCAAACTCTGTGAACTGATGACGTGTCGCATGGTTCGACAACAAAGTATATGCTTGGTCCGGTTTCCTTGCCAAGTCCACTGCGTCCAAGTCCTTTCCACGCAGAACGACTTCGGGGTTGACTTCTGTCGACATTCTTCGACCTTCGACTCGACATTGGGCCTTTTGGGGAGCCCCACTGCATCAGGGTCGTAGGGCAAGAAGGCTCGCTTGAACCTAGCGAAGGCAAGGTCAAAGAAAAGGAAACCCCTTGGAGTAAAAACTGTGCAGTCTCTGAAAGTACTTTTGACTTCTGGATGCACGACTGAGTTTGGGTAAATAGAACTAAAACTGCATACTTGCATAAATTGTTCAGAACCCTAACTGAGGATATTCGTCAATCACATGGCGTGCTAGACTAAAATCTAATTTCGTGTCTGGGTGTCTGACGGCCTCGTCATTTGCACCCATTCGCCCTTTTCCCCGGATCTCTCCACCCCGTCTCGCTGCGCCAGGTCACGGTCGCCGTTTCAAAAAACGCCAGTCCTGGAGGCAGCGGAACGACTGTCTCGGCCGGTCGAGGGGCGGAACCGGTGAGGTCCTTACTGTTGAGGGCCCCATTCAAAAGTTCAAGATCAGGGGATCCCAACATCATCTGCTCTGGCTTCCCAAGGCCCAGGAATTTGGGCGACCCCTTATGGGGAAACTCCACCTCTGTTCCAAGGCACTGACTCCAACACCTGACAACAACCCCTGCCGTGGGTGTTTCACTCCCTCTGCGTGTCGACAAAAAAGACACTCCCAAAACAAGGCAACGCCGCCGTTAGCGGCTGTGGGTGTTGCACACGCTGAATTTTGCACACGCGGGTCAACGGAAGAGTTCAGGGACTGCTTCCCAAAGGTTCTGACAGCCCACAGGCGAAAACCCAGTTGTGCATCTCTGGATTCACTAGACGACTCTTGACATCTTTTGTGGCCAGTTCTTTTGGTAGTAAGAATTGTTTGAGTCGTCTCCACAATGGCAGACGAACGAACGAGGTGCGACGTGAACTGTGAACGAAGCGCGACGACAACGGAGAAACCATCCGAGCCTGACTGGAACCCCACAAACCACCCCTAAAAGCCCACTTGAACCGAACCTCAAAAAATGACAAAAGGTAGCAAAATCCCCACAGCCAACGGCGTTGCCCAGGCCCAAGCATGGAACATTGGCCCGTTGGATGAGCATGCTCTACAGATGGGGCTTTTTCCAAGCGAAACTCGCACGTCGTCGAGGACATCGGCCGAGACATCGGTCCACGTCGTCGACCTCGACCTGGAGAGCCCCCCGTGGGGTCTTGCTTCGGAGAGGGGAGGAGGCCGGAGGTCGACCAATGGCGACCCCAGGATCCGACTTTCAGATGAACTTGGGGGTCTTTGGGGGGTCTTTCAGGTGTCTTGGGCGAGTGCAATTGCACTTGCTTCTGGAGCATCAAGTCCTGATTCCTTGGCCAAGTGAGAGGCCATACATGCACTTGCAGAACATCCGTTGAAGTCCACCGAATGGAGATGATGCCGGCAGAACTCAAACGCCAAACCCCTGCGGTCAATGGCCGAGGAAAACAAATGGTCACTTGTGGAGCTCTTGAAGAGACCAGGAGCACAACAACCGGACCAGGCTGAGGGGGTGGTCGATTTCCAAAGCAAAAACACCAGGATGAGCGATGATGGTGGGGCTGGGACCTCTGGCCTATAGGTGTCCGCCAATCATCTTGACACCCCAAAACTACAACAAGGGAACACTCCTTTGGACAAGGGAGATGAATTATTTGTTCATGTTCGTGGGCCATCGCACGCCCAAAATCACATGCCCAACAGGCCCAGCCTGCCGCTTCATCTTGACAGGAGCGCACAAGAGAGCAGTGGAAGCATTGCTATGTGTTGCTTCAGCGGAGTTTGTGGTTGAGACCAGTACCGAAGAACAAAATGACTGCTTCAATGATTCATGTCCTACCTGCCTTGGGACAGTTGTGCAAAAAAGAAAAATAGAAAGCTTTCAGGGTGTCAAATGCTGAAACGTACTTAAGCCTTTTCCATGTATCTCCCTCCTTGGCACATAACATTTCTTACACCACTGGAGGGGGCTCAGAAACAGGGGGCGTCAAACCTAGGACTAGGATACAGGATACAGTATATAGGATGATGCATTCTTGGTCTTAAATCTGAGTCTAGCTCTGCGCACTGTTGTGATTACCACATGTTGAAAGGCTCATCACATCCGACCGAACGGCTTTGGCGAGCATGTTTTTTGACGATTTGTGGAGGCAGCGAAGATCTGTCATTGTCTGAGTGGTTTGACACTGGTGCAGCTCCAATTGGTGCGCATGACTTGACCCCCAGTGTTGTCACCGGTCTAAGTCTAACGTGAGCTTCACCCATATGGCCGACGAGATTCGCGAAGCGCGGTCAAACGGTGGATGGACGACATTTCTGAGTGAGGTCGCCCCATAGAACCCGAATTCGCATTCAGCTCCTGTCTTGTTTTGCTCTTTCTGGAGGCTACGTCAAGCTTGAAAGCTCCTGTATCGAGGGCCACGAAGTAATTTGCTAGCAACCTCCAAAAAGCCTTCCTCTGAAGTTTCACTCCAAGTTCTCTGCGTTTTCTCTCATGAAGTCCAACAGTGTGTGGATGTTGGATTCGTGATTCATTGTGCTTTTCACAAAAAGAAAGAACAGGTCTGACAGGGCAGGTTTCTGACAGGACTCCTTCCAGGGTCAATGTCACCCAAAGAAATACCAGTAAATGTTCCACCCAAAGATGATCTCGAGGGTCACATCTGAAATGTGCGAGTAGATAACCTTGAAGCGCGCACTCCCGCTCAGACCGTCGCTCCTTTGCCGATCCACAGACCCGCAACCGTCCATCCCAATCCAGCCAGCCCCCTGCCCCCCCCTGCCAACGCAAGAGACAAACGTGCCGGCCAGCGCCCTGCCAGGATGAGAATCTCCAGGGCAAAGCTCTGGGCCAAGCCCTTTCGCGCGCCAAGCTTTGGGGGTGGTGGCGGTGTCCCCTCCCCCTCAAGATCGTGCGAGTCGGACCCAAGCTCACCCTCGTGGACCCCATGCAACAAGGGGCTTGGGTGGAAACCCCAACTCCAAAAAGAACCGCCCAAACGACTGGTTCCACCGGAGAAAACGGCCCTCAAAGGGGTGAGACCATCAAAACCTTCCCATCGGCAGGTCCGGTCCCGGCAGGTCCCGCGGGTCCCGCAGGTCGGGTCAAACCCGACCCGAGTGGGACTCGATCCGATCTGGCCCCAGAACTGATGGATGAACTGATGAACCTTAGACTTCTGAAATGAATAAAACATGGTGTTGGCCCAGAAAAGTCATCGGGAAGATGTAGAGCTAACATGAGCTAACAGCAACCGGTCTAGCAGCTCTGAGATCAAACAGCCACCAAAAACAGCACGTTCCAAAACCTGCGACTTCAACAACTCCATCCCGATCACAACTGCTACAACTGCCATGAATCGACATGGCCACTCATTTTCGACCACGAAATCTCCATGGACCGGGACCACTAGAAATGGACTGAGCAAATCTGTGATGACCACTGCCCTTGGTGGATGATCATTCCACGGCGTCGGAGTGACATTGGATATTCCTCGTTCTTGGTGAGTACGCCCCGCGCAACATCTGCAGGCAGTGGTGATTGCTCAGGCATTGGGGGGGGAACTATCCCCAAAATCTGACAGACTCAGTGGAACCATGAAATAGATCTAACAAAAAGGTGATGCAATGTTCTGCACACCACCTGAGACCACTTGCCTTGCCTTTGCCAATCGTCCAGCAAAACGACTCATTCATCCCTGTGCCTTAGCAAACACTCTCATGCAGTCGTCGTTCAGCAAATTACCTGCCAAGAAGGCCACGACGTGGTCTGTCTACAATGTCAGTTCGGACGCTGGCATAGGAACAATAACTTAGCTCTTACAACCTGCGCAGTTCCTGGGTTTTGCTTGCACTTAGACCTGCTCGTTGAGGATCATCGTGACCAAAACCCTGCCACAATACACAAGAAATCGCCCAACAGCTCCAGTTGCCAACCCACATTGTCAATTCTTTCCTCTTGGATACAGAGTCTCGCAAAACTGCGGCACTTCATGCTCCTCGCACTGATCCAAAAAAGTGGCTGGGAAACTGTGATTCGGCTTTTCGGCGCAGGTGTCCCTTCGTCCAGGCCTGCCAGTTCCAGGACCCGAAGCGCTGTACAGGCGCCGCAACGGGCCTGGGCCGGTGGATGAGGTCACCCGTTTCGGAGGGCCTTGGGATCCGTTCGGGATTCTCTTCTCATGCCTTGACTGGAGCCCTTCTGGAATTTGGGGAGCTACAGCCGTGCCTGACTGGAAGCGTCTGACCAATGTGACGGAAAGGTTCTTGCACCAACTGGACCAACTGGAGTCCACAAAAATCCTCGAAAATGGAATCTTCTGATCCGTATCTCATTCCGCAGGTCCATCTCTTTGGTCCATTTGGTGGAGGCATCGAGAGTGACCCCTCCTTCGGGCTCCAAGGAACGTCCAAGAATGCGAAAGACGAGGGAACGTCCAAGGAAGTGTTCGCCCTCATCCCATAACTCATGAGAGATAGGGACCTTCTGTATGCAACTATATGAAATGGTTCAGTAAAGATCTTTTCAGTTCTTTAAGTATGTTGTTTGCCATAGGTTGCGCACTTCCATCACAGAGAAACATGAGGCGCAAATGCCGAAGTAGCTGGTGATTTGGGGTTGGACTTGTGCGGGGAAAAGTGTTCAACCCAGCCGCAAGCATCGTGTTCCACCCAGAATTCCGAGCCCCCCCACCTGCAGGACATCTTGGCCAGGAGTTTCTGCCAAGACGATGGCCCCTCTGCCAGGAGTTTTGTTACAACCAACCCTGCACTGCGCACTTCCAAAAGCTATTCAATCAGTAGCTGTCCCCTGAGATTTCAATGGATGGGTCGCCCAAACCGGGGTCTGCCATGGAATGGACTCAGGCAGGTGTCTTCCTGTGAGGCCATCAAAGCCTCTTGACCAAGCAGTGCAAAACCACATCAGCAATTCTCACCATGCATTGGACTGGGAGTATGACATCCGTCAGGTGCAGCTGCCTTAAAGGGCTTTGATCATCCTGTGATGGCTCGACGCTTACGGTAGGTCACATCCCTGGGCAAGTTTCCCCTGCTGCCACGTGCGTGGGTTGACTGGTGGGGTATCGAATACGACTGGTGGCCGGACTGAGACATCTGGAGTCTGATCTTTGGATCTTTAAAGTGTTCTCATTCCCCCAAGGGTTTTATCAGAGGACGATCCTCTTCCTGGAGTCACCTCTACATCTTTAAT